CTATATAAGAACGTCAATCTGAAAGGTATTCAGATTGTATTTTAGATAGTAAGTAATATATATTTGATATTATTGATTATTGATTATTGTGTAGAACTATTATACTTGAAAAAGATAAAAATGAACACTGAAATGAGTTCCCCTTTAGAGAAATTACTTCAAGAAATAGGACTACGATTCCGTCCATTCCTTGTCAGTAATGACGGTAATGAAACCATAAGGCATTTTAGCTGCCTGGTAAGAAACTATCCAATGACAGTTCATCTTACACTAGAACAAGTATAAAGCATTAATGATATTGTTATGGTTTTTCTGAAATAACTTATTTCGCAGTCAGATTATATAAATTCTCAATTTATTCTGACTTTTCATAAAATGGAGCAATATATTTCAACGTCTCCCCTTAATCCTAATTCTTGTCATTCCAGCAAGACTTCTCAAGTTCTGGAAGTTTATTTTATTGTCAGCATGTCTGTAGTTTGTGAATTGGTATCAATCTGACAGAGTTTATTTCTTTTCTTATTATATGCTCTCTTATGAAATGATCGCGTATATCAATATGCTTAGTGCGCAAATGAAATACAGGATGCTCTGCGAGGAGTATGCATGAGTAATTATCTTCATGGATTGGTATAGGCAATTTTAATGGAACACACATCTCACGGAACAACCGAATAATCCATAACGCTTCCTTGACAGCCTCACTCAATGCGAGATACTCAGCTTCAGCGGCCGAAATGGCTACTATGGACTGTTTCTTACTTTTCCACGACATTGGAGATCCACCATATTTAACAATGTATCCTGTGATTGATTTCCTGTCACCCTTGTCACTAGCCCAATCACTATCGCAGTATATATCCAATGAGCTGTCTCCGTTATAATGGTGGCCGATATCTTGGGTTCCTTTAAGATATCTGAGGACATGTTTGGCACGCTTCATATGAGTCTCAGAGGGCCTAGCTAAGTGTCTACTAAGTATTCCAACTGCGTATGCAATGTCTGTTCGAACAGTAGTCGATGCAAATTATAGCTTTCCTACTAGCGAACGATATCTAGTGGTGGCGTCACATTCTGTGTCCTCCTTGTGTAAGACCTGTCCTGCTAAAGATGGATTTGCAACAAGATTTACATCACTCAAGTCAAAACCCAAAAGACTTTTCCAATGTAGTCATATAGACATATCTTGATACCATTGGTATCTTGTTCAATATTAATTCCTAGAAACTTCTTCGCAACTCCTAAGTCTTTCATTTTAAACTTCAGTGCGAGCATTTTCTTTACGTCTTCAATTTCCTTCATANCCTTTCCTGATATGAGGATATCATCGACATAGAGGCCAATAATTATGTTCCCCCGAACATATATGCCTTGCTCGCTGTCAATTCGTTTGAACCTATGTTCAGCAAGAAAGTCTGAAATTGTAGTATTCCAACATATCGGTGCTTGTTTCAATCCGTATAACGATTTGTTCAATTTGCACACCTTCTCTGGTTCAGCCTCGTCGACAAATCCAACAGGCTGTTTCATATAGAGTGTTTCTTCCACAATACCGTTCAAAAATGNGGTATCTACATCCATCTGGTGGACTACTCTATTGTCAACAGCACTAAATGCTAGAAGTAGCTTGACAGATTCATATCTGATTACTGGACTGAATGTATCCAAGTAATCCTCCCCTGGAACCTGACTGAACCCCTGTGCTACTAGTCTAGCTTTGTATCTACCGTCATCTTTCTTGGTAAATACCCATCTGTTACCTATTGCCTTTCTATCTTTAGGCAACGATACTAAATCCCATGTATTATTTGCATAGTGAGCTCCCATCTCACTATCCATGGCGAATTTCCATTTATCATATTCATCACTCAGCATAGCTTGCTTGTATGTTATTGGTACACCGTCTTTCTTTGTACTAAAAACATAAGCATGCAACATAAAATATGCAGATCCTCTGACAACAAGCGAGGTATCTGAGTTAGAGGGACTTTCATGCAGATTCTCATGTTTCTGTTTCTTAGAAGGTTCGGTTTCATCATCAGACGATACTTCAGATCTTCTACGCAGTTTATCAGTAATAGCTTTTCTTCTTTTCCTAACAGGTTTGTCAACATAGTCCTCATCGTCTGAAAAATCAAAATTATCATGATGATGTTCATAGTAAGAAATTTTGTAATCCTCCCCTGAAAGCGAAGCTTCAGAATCAGAAATATATTCAATGAGGGGACGAGGGTTGGTTTTGGGAACCACAGGAGGCGAAGAAGGCTCAACAACAGCAGGAGAAGAAGATGGAGGTGGAGATACAGACATATTCTGGCGACAAGAGTCAGAAGAACAATCTGTAATAGTATTGGACAAACATTGATCGTCCAGATGAGTGATTTGTTTAGGTAATACAGGAGGAGGCAGGACAGGATCACTCATCTCAATATCCGGTGAAGGCACCATAGCAGAATCAGTCGTCACAATGTCCAGTGAAGGGACCATAGCAGTAGTCTCATTAGACTTCATTGCATCCTCTGCTGGAGTCAATTCATGTGCAGTAGTGTCCAGCACAGGCATGGGAGTAGATTCAATCATTAAAGTATCAGGATCATCCTGATCAACATCCATTGCAGTATCAGGTAAATCAAGTGTAGCTTGGACACCAGGTGCCGAAAAGAACGAAGACACAGACGACGACGAAGGCTTCGACTCAGAAAAGTTACGGGGAACTTTCTCAGCAGACTTGAAGGGAAACGCAAATTCATCGAACTTTACATTATTACTAACAACAACTGTACCGGAGTCAAGATCAAAGATACGGTACGCATGTTGGGTAGATGCATACCCAACCATAACTCCTCGAATAGAACGAGGGGACAATTTNGAAGAACGTACAGATTCAGGAATGTACGCATACGCTAAGCATCCAAAAGTACGTAATCCATCTAACACAGGAAGCGTTTTGTGCCAACGTTTGTATGGAATGCCATTGTTGATAGAGCGTGAGGGTAACCGATTAATAAGAAAAGCAGCACAATTAATAGCCTCAGCCCACAAACAGACGGGTGCATTAGCTGCAAACATCATGACACGAGCCTTTTCTGTTAGTGTACGAATAGCACGTTCACTAACACCATTTTGATGACTATTATACGGAACAGTAGTTTGGTGGGTGATTCCACAGTCAGCAAGATACTTATCNAAGCGAGAGGACATNTACTCGCCACCATTGTCAGAACGAAGTGTGACCACACGATATCCACCACGATTGTGGAAGAAATGTTCTACTTTCAAAATAAATTCAGAAATGCACACCGGGACAGCAGCCTTGGTTGCAATCGGATACACCGTCATGTACCGAGTATAGTCATCAACAATAACCACAAAATACCGATCATCGGTCAAGCTTGGTTGAGGAAAGGGTCCACACACGTCAGAATGCACAAGTTCTAGTGGGAACCGAACAGGACTGCTACCAGTAGTCGATATCTTTGGAAGAGAATGCGTAGCTTTACCACGAG